ACCGGACGCTACATGTTTATTTCATTGTGTATTATTTTTGTACCCTTTCCTTTAGTGTGTTTTTCGTTGTTCAAATTTAAAAAGCTGCAAATTGAAATGTTTTTTACTTAAAAAGAGTTACGGATCAATATATTGTAGGTTTGGTTACATGGTAACTACTCTACAGTTTTCATTGATTCTTTCCAATAAAAGCTAATCTTACACATGTTCAAGTCTAAGATTACGGAATCTGTTTTCCTGATCGTTTTCAGCAACATTTTGTAAGCAATTTAGCAGGTTACTCTCTTGGTGGATGGTAACTTCTTATAGATGTAGCTGGTAGGGTTTTGATTGGCTCCCCAAGTGTCTATTAAAGTTAGGCCTACCTTGCCCTCTCGGGATTGCCCGCTTTGTCCCGCTAAAAAGGCTGTCTGGCCCGTGTATGATAAATCCTTTAATTTATTGAACAAGTTTATTCGATCAAGATGGTTTGGTATTGCCTTCGTTATCTTCCTTTTTTTTCGGTCCATGAAAACCAAAAAAGCTTTGTCAGTGATGCTTATATAACATGTAGCATGCAGCATTGATAATAATGAAATTCTACTGCGAGGCCGATCATTTCCACTTTATAGTTTCACAGATTTATCCGCAGTTCAAAATATGAATCATTTCATATATTTTCATTCACTGATAATACTTAACAATTATTCCTCGAGCCCGAATGGGCTCTGAGTTAATAGCCCATGGGGCCGAAGGCCGAAGGCCTAGTTGGTCTAAAATATCCAGACGAAACAACTTTAGCTAGCAAAACGCGATTCAGTCGCCTTTGTTTTGGTTTTCAAAGCCGGCGCTTTTCGCTACTAGTGGGCTATAACATATAGCCTATTAGTAGCTCAACCAATCAGAACGCAGCATTAATGATAGACCACTAGTTGGATTTTACTAAAATCATTTATTCACAGGGGGGTAGCTACCTGTACGCACCGTACGCTGAGAAAGTCGTGCACAAAAATAAATAAAAATAATAAATAAATAGTAATGATTAAATAATAAAAAATAAAAAGTTAGTTCTAAAAAGAAAGCAAAATATCTAAAGATAATTATTTTAAGAGCACAGTTTGCCTCAATTCATTCAACTCTGGNGCCTTTGTTTTGGTTTTCAAAGCCGGCGCTTTTCGCTACTAGTGGGCTATAACATAGAGCCTATTAGTAGCTCAACCAATCAGAACGCAGCATTGATGATAGACCACTAGTTGGATTTTACTAAAATCATTTATTCACAGGGGGGTAGCTACCTGTACGCACCGTACGCTGAGAAAGTCGTGCACAAAAATAAATAAAAATAATAAATAAATAGTAATGATTTAATAATAAAAAATAAAAAGTTAGTTCTAAAAAGAAAGCAAAATATCTAAAGATAATTATTTTAAGAGCACAGTTTGCCTCAATTCATTAAACTCTGGCTGTTTCTTGTTTTTTAAAACAACTGACTTTTTTTTTCCTCTCCACCCAAATGTGGGTTTCCAGAGAAACGAAGTAATTCATTAATGGACCGAATCTTGATAACATATATATCTAGTGAAAAAATGGCAGACGTATTTACTGAAACCGTGTTCGGTTTCCTAACCGTTTACACACATCGACAAATCCTGGGTGCGACGACAAAGGCGACGGTGACGGTGACGGTAATGAGCCCAATAAGTAAGTGAAAAAACAACAAATTTTGCTTGTCCAGCGCGCTTTTCTTGACAACCTGTACGAACACCACTGTAAATTTCCTTTTGTGACGTTTTTTGGAGAACATAAACACAGGGACAAATTCAATTTCTTGAGTCCGAACTTGGGTGCGGTCCCCAAGACTCACTCAAGTTCACCTATATTTGCCATTTTAAGAGAGTTGACGGAAACAAACGCGAAAAAGTAGCTAGGGGCGTTTTCGTTCCCGGCTCTCGCCGTCGTCGTTGCTAAGGCACCTCATATTCATGAAAGTGATACTTCCATTTTGGTTTTACTGCAAACTCGTATGATCAAATGCGGAAAAGTATCTGGTTAAGTTGGACAAATTGTTTACACTACAAAATATTGCGAATTTACAAGGCATCGGATTCACTTTAGATTTCAGATTCAAAATCTATAGAGACTTGACCGAATCGGCACATTTTCAATTCGGATTCACGCGCTGCATCTGCTTAGAAACGACCAAACGAACCTAGTAATAAAATAAAGTAACGAACCCGGACGAATATGTGGCCTTATTGTACGATAGATGAATGAAGTGCATCAGTCAATGGACCCAAACAACCTAACAAAATATTTCATAAGTTTTTAATGTCATTTCATTTGCAGAAAAAAAACTCTTAGGCTAACAACGTAAACAAATCTTTAATCAAGGAAGTTTTTTTTTTGGGGGGGGGGTGGGTAGGGGGTCCAAAGCGATTTGGAGAATTATGCGTACCTCTGAAAAATCCTGGCTACGCCCCTGATTCATACACAATAAAATTACATCACTGCTGATGTTAAGGTAGTTTAACACAGCTAACTTTTTCCAAGTGTTTTAACAGCAAGTCATTTAGTTTTTTTTTTATAAAATGTTTTTATCTACTTGCTGTTAACAGAATTTGCCAGACTTTGTATTATAAGCATTAGAAGTCAGTCTTGTACATATTTACTGGCTGATACTGAAAAGAAAAAGAAAGCTTTACGTTCAAAGTATGAAGACATTTAGGAGTTTTGTACATTTTTACTCGTTAGAAAAGGCAAAATAAAAGTGCATGTTGAAAGCAAGAAGACATGCATGTATTTTCTCTCATTTGAGGCCCACTGATATATATCTGCTTACTATTCACAACAACAATTTCATATACTCTTCACCACAAAGAAAATTAAACGAACAAAGTCAGTATGAATTGTTCGACTAATGAGTCGTTTTTAAAAACAAAAGTCAGAACTAATGGCTTGACTGTAATGGCTTGATAGCTGACCAAAGTAAACATCAGTGGATAGTACTTGGAGACATACCTGGAACATCAGTTCTTGTTTTCAATATTTATTTCCTTAATTCCATATATTTAATTTCCACAACGAGCTCAAGTATAAGCCACGCATTTCATTGATTTGCTAAAGAACAAATAACCAGTTCGATGTCATAACTTGATTTGGTTAACTCATCCCTACTTCAGTCTTCAAACTTCACTTCATTTCACTCTCCGTTGACAAGAACAAGTAGTAGACTGGAAACGTAATAAATTTGTGCTAAAATATTTCGGCTAGATCGGTCAGTCTGTATCAGTCAAAAGTGCGTGATTGCAGAGCAGTCATGTTACCTTAAGACAGTCACGTGACAAGAGAACTACATCGTAGTTGTTCGATGGTTCCAGCCCTCCCTGGCTCAATGATATGAAATATATAAGTTGCTTTCTATTATCTTGACGGAGTTCATAAACTAAATCTCCATATTTGTTATCAGAGAGATGGACTGGATCTTAACCCCTGTAAGGCTTGTTACTGGGATTTTCTGGAAATTGGCCACGCCCATTTTTTGTGGTACTCATCTTGTTCAACTGGATCCTTCTTTGTCATAACGGTTAGTTTAGTTCTTTTTTCTCTAATTGTCTCATCGCATATTACCAGTAAGATTAATTGTTGCTTCTTATTTTGTTAAGCTGTATGTACAACGTCAGTTTAGTTAGGTTTGTAAACGCGTACAGCCTTATGGGCTTACGGTTGTAGTCACGAGAAAAATTAGTACAGCATTCTGGGAAACTGCTCTCCCCTAACCCATCATTTCGCCTTAAGAGGGAAGTTAGTGTTAACGTTGGGTCAGGGAAGTGGTACGAGTAGGTGTGTTGTTTCTCACAATCCTATAGTAATCCAGAACAACTTATCTATTTAACTGTGACCATACGCAAAGGAGCTTTTGAGCGACAGACAGCAACCTGAATTGGAATTTCTGCATTCTTGCCCAAATTTTCGGGCATATCGTCGCTATAAGAGTAGAAACGTTTATAGCAATAGAAGCTTGTCAGCATCAAAGCACGTTAAAAAGGTGATGGTCTTATTTGCTTAAGGTTCTTAATTACTTATCCACTCCGGAGACT